GCGTAGCCCGGAGGCTGCAGAGCGGCCTCGAACGGCTCCGCGCACCTGGGAGCGGCGGTGCCGGCCCTGCCACGCGTGTGACCCGGCGTCACCTCTCCCGGGAACCCCTTCTCCCCACATTTTTAGGGGGTCGGAACCTCAGGAGCAGCAGCACGGAGAAAAGCCCCGTCGGGAAGGCTGAGCCTGGGAGCTGCTGCCGGGTGCACCCAGCCATGGGGCAGTGCCCAGGATGCTGCTTTCACTGCAAAACCTTGAGGTCAAGGTGTTTAACTCGAGAGAATTCAAAGGAAAAAAAGAAAATTAAAACGTCCCTATCTGGCTACATCTGCTCTGAGCAACGTGCAGCAAGCACAGCCATGAAGCAGCCACCGCTCTGGAGATATCCCAGCGCTTGAACCAGTGGCTGGGAAAACAGGGCCGTAGCCCACGGATGCGCAAAGCCCCTCTCCGAAATCAGGGAAACGGCCCCGGCCCCTTTCTCTTCCATGAGCTCGAGCGTGCCGCGGCGCCGCGGCTCACGCGCCTGCAGGAGCAGGAGCTCTCGCCAGCTCTGCTATTTATTTGCTTTACGAGCTGTGCCAGCATTTCCCTGGCCGTGTTCTGGGAAGATATTTCCTCGGCTCCCGGGGGAATTGCGCCTTTGTGCAAACACAGCGTTCCCGAGGCCGGCGCGCGGTGCAGGAGGGCCCTGCAGGCCCTGCCTTCCCCACGGAGCTGCTGCCGCCAGCTGAACCCACGTGTGCAGAAACACCAGGCAAAGCAACTGTATGTCGGGCCTCTTTGTATGCAATAATTCGTATGCAATAATTTGTATTGCCTCCAGGTACCTAAATACTGCCCCAGGCCACTAATTTCACAAGCTGGAATAAAAGAGCAATAATGGCATATTGCACCTACCAGCACCAATGCATTCACCCCCACACACGGGTGGATGCGTGTGCCCACTCACGTGCATGCACGGACACACTGCAATGGGCTGCATTGCTGCAGCAGTCCCGCAGCTCCAGCACGAGGCAAATCACCGGCGTTTGGGAAGGAAGACGGTTTAGGAAACACCTTTTGAACCGGTTTGTTTCAGAAAGCATAAACAAGACATTAACCAGCAATGAAACACACGCTATAATAATAATAATAATGAAGAATCTGGTTGGGTGCCGGCAGCTCTCACGATGTCACTGCGGCTCCTGCAGCATCCAAGCTCTCTGCCGAGGGCTCCAGCAGCCGGAGCATCCACGGAGCAGCTGGACCCCGGCTGCATTGGGAAGAGCTGCACGGCAGCCTGCAAACGCGCTTCCCAAGAGCTTGCAAAAGCAGGTACCAACCCACAGCAGGCACCGAGGGCTGTTTTCCTCCTCTCGGTCGGAGCGGGCTCAAGGGCTGGTTTCAGCTCCCTTCCTGCAGGACAGGCTCAAGCTTTCCCGATAAAACAGCACCAGGAAAGGGCCTCGTTGCTCTTTTTACACTTCACGCCTTTTGGAGCAGCCCGACGCTGCTGCAGGAGGCAGGAGCGACGCTGCTGCCCTCCCGGCCCTGCACGGATGCTCCCTGCGGATGCTCCCGCGGCTCCGCTGCCGGAGCCCAGTGCCGAGGGAGCCAGGGAGAGCCGCGGCGCGCCGGGAAGGCTCCAATTAGCGATGGGAAGGGGCCAGCGGCGCCAGCGAGGCCAGCACGAGCCATCCCCTGCAGATCCGCGGCTTCCCGGCCCCGCGGGGTCTGCTCCAGCACGAGGAAACTGCCTTTCTGGGGGCAGCGGTGGGAAACGGCAC